AGAATCGATCACAATGGCGTCGGTGTATACACTCCCTGTCTTCCCTTAAACTAAGAGACTTCATATCTTTCTTTCTACGAACTAATTCTTTCTTCCTATACTATATCCTTATTGCAACCTTTGACCTAACCACTCCTATGAATCCGCTGTTCATCTTGCTGTGCTAATGAGGTATGGCAACCTGGACCGATGCACATATGTGCCTGGTCCTACGTTGTAGCTGACTGACTGACTGATATATAGCCAATGGCATAAATATCCGCTCCTCTACTAGCGAATCCCATGATAGCGGCACTTGTGAAGTCATTAGCTGTAAGTTGGCTATAGGATGTAGTACATTTATGCTAGGCGTCATCTATCGGTGCCCAATCTGCTTAGCTGATGACTTTGTTTTAGAGCACATTCATCTTTGGAGTGATAATACCAGGTGCTTGATAATAGGAGACTTTAACGCACCTGATATTAGTTGGACTGATATGACCACAGAAGGATCTATAAACTCCTTTGATAGTGGGTTACTGATAACAATAAAGGAGCATGCACTAGTGCATCATGTATCCCAACCCACACGTTTTGGTGTTAACCAGGGTTCTTCTCTGCTGGACTTGATAATCACTCATGAGACTGAGGATATTGTCGACTTTAATATTCTCCCACCACTAGTGAACAGCGATCATTCTGTTTTGCCATTCATGTTTATAAGTAGGGACATGTTATACGATCAGGTTACACCTCGCCCAAAAGTATGGAAAGCTAACATATCAGCCATTCAGGAATGCGCTGCTAAGACAGACTGGTTAGTAGTTACTTATGGTATTGATGCTGATTTATCACGCAAAATACCTCTTTAAATCGTGTTACGAACGTTGAATTGGCTTTACTTCCTATCCAGAAATCCTATTACAAGCAAACTAGACAATTCGCAAATATACGAAGCCTACTCAAGACCCTATAATACCTGAAGAAAAAATAATAATACAAAAAAAACGAAAGGGGCTCTAATAGCTTCGATAATAAAAGGAAGACAGCCAATTGTATATCACAATACTGTTTCTAGCACTATATTTTATTTTATAATCACACATAATCCCATACTGTCAGCTCCTTTCCGAATCCCCTCCATTTGTCAGTTGTATGTCCACTCACACCATGTTAACACTTATTTTCTTTAACCTATTAAATGCTCTTTCTTGACAAATACCTTAATAAAAGAAAATTAGGCTGAGTAATCATACCTTAAACATTCCTTCATGAATATTGGCTACTCTGCCCCTCGTGTTTTCTTCTACTTGCTCCCTCTTTCAGCCCCCTTGTGATATGGAACGAAAGATTTTATCCTGCACCATCCTCAAAGCCTTGGACATTCCAAAGGGACATAAGGTTGCGACATTTAGAAGCTCCCACCTTCAATGGGCCTATCCTTGACCATCAGTTGCACATTCGCAACGCAACTGTCGTGAAGCGCGCCAACTGTAGTACTGATTGAAACCATCTACATTCATATCTTATAAATTATCAACCCAGCTATTTAATTTACTACAGTGGATATTGTATCATTTGTATCAATTTGATCTTGCTTGTAAACTGGCATGCCTCATGTAACAAACTGTTATTTGGGAATAAATTATTATTATTTTTATTACTAGCATATCAGTTGGAGAAGCATGGTCTGTATTTAAAGGTAAATTTAGACTAGTTACGTCCCCGTTCATACCTGGTACCGCGAAAACCGAATAACCGTCCACCATGGATAACTAAAACGGTCAGGAAACTCCTTAGAAAAATAAAGAAGGAACGTTTTGATCGAAGAAATTTCTTTTCAATTAGTTTTTCATCATGGCTCTACACTAATATATATACGTTTTACAATAATAATATAATACTCATCGAGTAGATACGTTGCGTAATAATTACATAATGAAATTTAAATTAACATTGATTAATTGGAAGAAAGAGGATTATTAATATTCAAAGTGATCAAGAAGTTGCTACGTTGCATAATGTAAGAAACAAAGAAGGAACAGAATTTTAACGGATGGTCAATAGGATGGTAGTTACGTAAGAATCAAGAGATGAATGTTGAGAAGTTATTAAGTTCAAAAGCAACAGAAACAAAATTACAAAAGTTAAAAAAAAACAAGTGGAAGAAGTATGAAAAATAGTTCTTTTGAAGGAAATCTTATACTGATGACCAGGGCAGAGAAAGCGGTTGTACGAATCTCTTTTGAATGCAAAGGTCAGATTCGTGAACATGGATTGCGATGACTTCCACAATGTGCAAAAGGCGCACTCGTAAACCATGTGGCAAATTTGATGGGATATTGTAGATAACCTTAAAAGCTTTATTCAATTCAACTTGATGACCTGTGTCAACCAGGTGAGAGAGAATAGAACTTTTGATCACTTTTACCTGTCCTTTGTTTAACCAAGACGGATGATGTTCAGTAATGCGATGACGGACTTGCCGAATTGTACGCCCAATATAACTGGCTCCACAGGAGCAGTTGAAACAATAGGAACACATAGATTTGGCGAATTCAGGCAGTCTGTCTTTGTTGGCCGTTCTTATCTTGGGATAATTGTAGAAGATTGCATTTAATCTGGCAGCATTAAATGTTTTTTGTACGGCTCTTCTTAGTTTCCGAGTCAAGATTTCTTCAATGGTGTCATTTATGAATTGTAGTTTTATGAATAGTACCTTCTTATGGACGGTGGGTATCTTTGTCATTGTTTTCTTCTCCATCATATGTTTGTCGATGAACTTCATGGTATGCCCATTCATACTAAGTAGGTTCTGAATATTATTCAATTCTTCTTAGATGGTGTCTTCAAAGCAAATCATTCTAGCCCGATTTGTCAAGATCTTTATCAAGTTCCTTTTGTATCTTATTGGAACTGCACTATGGAAATGAGCGTATTGTCCTGCTGCAGACTTTCTGCGTACCCCTCTTTTTAAAGTTCCGTCTGCTCTTCTTTTTAGTTGGACATCTAGAAACGATATGCTGTCATTCTGTTCATCTTCTGATGTAAAACTAATTGATGGATGAACGTTATTAAATGTATTAAATAAATTGTCCTTATCATTTTCTTTTTCTAGTACTATGAAGGTGTCGTCTATATAGCGATAATAAGTTGGTAAATGGCTAATTATGCTTTTAAGTGGTCCGTTTTCCAGTTTCGCTAGGAGAAGGAAGAATCACTGGAATATGTTCAGCTCTACTGGCTTAGAACAATACAGAACCAGTTATTGTAAGATTAGGAATGCCTGTAAAGCGTTAATAAGCAAGACTAGACTATCATACGAAAAACTATTGGTTAAGGATTCTAGATACAGTCCGAAACCGTTATTCTCGTACATAAAAAGGCGAACTAAGAGAAGCGATGGAATTCCATCACTTTTAATACGAGATAATCTGTTAATCTTAGCAGAGAATGATGCCGAAAAAGCTGAAGCTTTATCGGAATACTTTAGTTAAGTGTTTTCTATCGGTAATGAGGAACGACCAATGATTCATCGTGACCGTGACGGCTCGCTGATGGATCCTGTAGTTATTGAGAAAGATACTGTTTTAAAGCTACTTCAGCATCTCAAACCTGATAAGTCCAGTGGTCCCGATGATATTCATCCTAGGATTATGAAAGCCATATCAGATGAAATTGCTGAACCATTAGCGATACTATTCGACATGTCTCTGGGACAGTCCAGACTTCCTAGAGACTGGAAAGACGCCATAATAAGTCCGGTGTATAAGGCTGGGAGTAGGGATTTAGTTAGTAACTATAGGCCCGTTAGCTTAACTAGTGCAGTTGTGAAACTGATGGAAAAGATCATTCGGATAGCTGTTATAAACTATGTTGAAGGGCAAAATCTTTTCTCCAGGGCACAACATGGTTTTCGGAAAGGCCTATCATGCTTGACAAATCTTCTCATTGCACGAGAAGAGTGGGCTGCGGCAAAGGATCGGAATGCTCCTGTGGATGTAATTTTCATAGATCTAAGTAAAGCCTTTGATAAGGTTTCACACTCTGGTCTTAAATTCAAAGTGAAACGTTTTGGAATCCATAACACAGTCGCCGATTGGATAAGTAACTTTCTCTATGACAGGAGACAAAGGGTAAGGGTTAATGGGGCTCTCTCCTCGTGGGTACCTGTAAAAAGTGGAGTTCCCCGAGGTCCTCTTCTTTTTTACTTTATGTAAATAAATTACCAACTATAGCAAAATCATCTTTTCTACTCTCCTCTGATGACATAAAAATTTGGAGACCCATACACAGTATGTCGGATAGAATAGTATTTAGATGATGAAATGTTTAGATTACTATACCCGATTTATGTGCGACCACATTTAGAATATGGGATTCAAGCAGCGAGTCCTTGTTCCAAGTATGAAGCAGAGATTCTGGGAAAAATCTAACGACGAGGTACTAAGATGGTACAAGGTCTATCTGACCTATCTTATGAAGACAGACTGAGACACCTTAACTTATTTCCGTTATCTTACCGTAGAGTACGGGGTGACCTAATATTGGCTTATCGTATACTGAACGATGACCTTGGTATCAACATGTCTTATCTTTTACTTCTATCTAGGACTGATCATTTGAGAGGACATTCGAAGAAAGTTCAAAAACCGAGATCAAACCGTTTACGTCTGGAGTTCCGTTTCTCGCACCGAGTAGTGAATTACTGGAATCCTCTACCGGAACACGTTATATCAGCACCGTCTGTTAATATATTCAAAACGAGGTTGCACCCCCACAGTATTGCAAACTGCAAGGATTAATATAGGTCGATAGACCTCTTATCCTTATTACTGAAGACTGAGATTATGGAGTCACATGGATGAGTTTCTGCATCGTACGCATTACGATTTCAGAACTGCAGAGCCTCTTTCTGACACTGAAAAGTTTTTAAACCATGTTAAAGAATATTGTTCCCTCTAATATTTTTAATTGAATTTAATTATTTTTACTTTATATGGACTGCTTTCTAGTTGACTGAAATTTCTCAAGGTCACACACGATTTGCTCAGAGACGTAAGGTAACAGGTCTTGCATTTTGGCTCAAAAATTCATTCAATTGTTGGGTTAATATACCATTTTGGCACTATAAATGGTGTAAGATTGTGGTGAAAACATAAAATTTAATTCATAATTTCTAACATTTGGATGCAAATCCTGATTCCTTACACTAATATATAGCGCTCAATTTACCTTGATAGATAAGTGGACGTTCCGAGGTCATTTTAGTGCTTCTCAAAGGCCGTCCATAAATTGTATCTTCACATAAAGATCATTTTATAAGTAAAAATGGACAGTTATACTAAAATACACTCCACTTATTAGTTTATAAGTGTATTAACGATAAAACGAGTGATGGAAAATGATATGAGAAAATACCATTGTCTGCTCTGCTTCTTGTGTTTCCCATTTCCTTCCCTTCTTTGGTACTATCGATATAAATCACAGAAAACAGGTATATGGAAAATATGACTTCGTCCCAACCTTGGGATGAAACCCCCAATATTTCAAAAGGATTTAATGTCGTATTGATCATGTCTGTCTCACAATGAAAGTTTACAACGTTATGTGTTAAGTTCAACATTTTTAACCGGTGGATCATACTCTAACCACACAAGACCGTGTTATGAACAACTTTAGGCTTTATTTACATTATTCTCCCGATCACAAGTTGTTCATCGCAGCATAGCTTTCATGAAGTCCGTCGACTTTTTCACTGGAAATTCAGGTTTTCAAAAAAGCAAGAACAAAGATTCTAGCAGAATAGCATGAATTCATTTTATTTCGTAGGTTCTCGTCAGCTGCTTACAACCTGTGATATTTAAAAATCATAATTACATAATGGGTTTCAATTGCTTACTGAATATTGTAAATATATACCTAATGTGAAAGAATATTCTACAACATTAATTGTGACAACGGTTCAGAAGTGGGTTAGAAGCAATTAATTACATAATGAATAAACATTGATGGGAATATAGTGGGTAGAGTTCAGTCGAAAGACTATTAATTTGAAAGAGAGTTGAAAAAATAAAATAAAATCAATGACGTAATAAATACAAAAGAAAGGAGGAGAACTTTTTAAGGTGCAGCGAAAGAATATTTGTCACCAAGGCAAGGAAAGATTAACAACCGTCTCCTTTTGAATACATAGTTCAGGTTTTTGACGCCTGATGGCAACGGCTTCAGCAAACTTCAAAAGACTGGAGTTTGGTTGCCTAGTAATCACCCTAAAGGGTTGTGAGGTGTCTACCTGATGTCCTGTATCAAGGAGATGTTTGGTGATTGCCTTAGAACAAAGGGCAGAAAGTCTCTGAATAGTGAGTTAGCTAATAGCCCAGGTTAAAAATGAAGCACACAATCTGATTGTCGGTGGAATAAATAAACTTCTAAACGACATCAAAGCACTGAATAGACTAACAAACAAAAACGTTCTGTTAGAAGGACATCGGTGATACTAATACCGTGTCGTTTTTCCTGCTTTTTCTTGAGACCACAAACATAACACCACCACCACCACTGGAAATAAAATTAACGCCGATTAGTAATTTTGCTGGCCCACTTTGCACCCAATCAGAATGAGGTGAGAATTATCATTTTTGTCATCGTTGTAAGCACTGGAGTTCCGTTTGTTTTATTCCTTGGATGACGGTAATATATCCGGTTGGTTCGTGAGACTCAGGCACCTGACAAACTAGGACCACGTCGGAGATGCAATCAATCTCTTGTAGAAAGCTCATCATTGAAAACAGACTGCATATAATTATTAGATGACTTGGACGTATGACGTCCAATCTAAAAGACGAAAAGTCGGAGATCTGCAACAGAATGTTATGTGGGTTCGTTGTTTTGGCCATTAAAGGAAGCCGGATGGCCATGCTCAGAGAGTGAAAGGGTAAATAGCTAATGTTGTGCTCACTTCCATATAGATCAACGTTTGTCGATTGCCAAGCCATGTTTTGCGTGTGGTACGATGTCATTCGGTAAATAATAGCTTCATCTAAGATGGAGCAGAACTACCCTTGCAATAAAAGCATCCGACAGAAGTCTGGGTTGTTAGTTGTCAAAGTTTATCTACTTTCAGCATTGCTCTTATTCTGGAAGTCTTCCTATAATGAAAAAAAACAAGCAGCTTGCAGTTACTGTAATGTGTGAATGTCTAGAGATTTCAGCTTTCCTCTGTTCGAATCACTTTGGTATAACGTTCATGAAGTTTAAGAGGGTGCTATTAAACGCAACTCAATTTCGTAAATGTGGTATTCAGCTTAGCAACCAATCAGAATAAGGCGGGAATTATTATATCCGCCATCTCTGTAAGCAATGGCGGTCGGCTTCCTTCGTTCTGTTTTTTTCAGCTATTTCTTTTGTGTAGCTATGTAATTTGATGTTTTAGTGTGCTAAAATGCCGCAGTTAGTGTAATGTTTTGTATGTCGGTGTGAAATTTATTTCGAGTCAGCATTTTTTTTCTGGCTTTTTGCTGCTTCTCAAGTCAATGTATTTCTTCAGGCAGTCTGGCTAGTCTTGTGTTATGAAATGTTAATGCGTTTTTTTTGAGATATCGGGAGCGAAGGTTAGTTTTGTTAGCTTAAATAAGTGTTGCGGCTGTATGAAACTCGAACTGTCGGCATAATCGTTCCTAACTGTCAGGCAAGCTCGTTATTCTTATGTCATGAAATCTTAATGCGTTATATTTTGAGCATTGTTTTTTAAGTGTCGAGAACCGAAGTCAGTTTTTTAGCTAAAATAAATGTTGCTGCCGCATGTGACCGTAACTGGCCGCATATTCGTTCCTAATTGTTATTTATTATTATCAGGCAGAATGAAAGATTTGTTATTTTCTGCAGTATTATGGATCCCGCTACTCCATCAACCAGCCAAACTAATACTGAGTGTCCATTGGCTGTGTATACCGGTGATGTCTTCGAAAGGATTATGAGACCCAGGCAGCTGACAAGCTGGGAGCAAGTCAGAGAAGCTGTCGATCTGTTGCAAAAGGTTTGTTATTGATAATACATCATCTAAAAAGTAATAGATGACTTGGACTCATTATGTAGTACGTGAAAGCAGGCTGAACAAAGAAAAGCCGGAAATTCGCTACGAGTATGTAGTGTATGTATGTTCTTTTGGTCATAAAAAGAAGCCGGAGGGCCATGGTGAGAGAATAAAAGGGTAAATGATCATTATTATTGTTTTCAATTTTCATAGATCAAAGTTTAGTGGTTGCAAGGCCATGTTTCGTTTACGGTATGATGTGAACCGGTTCGTCATATCGTCGTCGAGGATGATACATAACCATCCTTGTGATGAAAAGTGTTTGAAAAATGATCCATGGTTCCGAAGATTAAATGAAGATCAGTTGAAGGTTGTTCGGCCGATGGTTGAGACTGGGAGTAATGCAAATTCAATAGTTAAGTATGCCAAAGACCATTTTGGAAAGACAATAACGGTGCAATATGTTAATAATTTAAAATATAAAGTTGTCGAATGTAAGCTTATCACATATATCTACGGTATTTTAGGCTGTGGAAGCTTAAACGACGTAATTGCAACGTTACGGAACAGTGGAAAAGTATTCGTTTCTTATGGGGGCGTGGCTAACCAGGTTACAAAGATAGCATTTAGCACGCACGAGCAAATTGAAACGTACAAACGGTTCCCTGAAGTTGTGTGTTTGGATTCAACATACAACACGAGCAGGGGAAAGTAATTAAAATTTTCCTGCGTACTAATTGTCTTTAGTTATAAACTCTTTCAGTTGGTTTGTACAGATAACTGCGGACATGGAGTCCCAGTTATGTTTGCTTGGACCAAGGAAGAGAAGGTTGATATGGTATGGATACTGGATCATTTTAAAAAGATCATGAATGGAACCAGTCAAACGGAAACGTTTGTGATGGACTGTGCAAGATCCATCATATCCGCTGTTGAATTAACGCACCGTACTGCCCACATAGCTTTATGCTCTTTCCACGTGTGTAGAGCTATTTGTAAGAAGACCCGCGATCCAATAATCAAGCAGTACTTATGTCAGCTGGTGCGTGAACAAACAGTAGTTAAGTTTCACCAGATACGTCGAATAATCAGTGTTCGCAGCAGACGCATCGCAGCTTATTTAAACAAGAACTGGATGAGTAGGAAGGGAACTTGGGCCGCAGCTTTCAACGGCAATGTCGTTACGTTGGGTAACAACACCAACCACCGGGTTGAAAGTGCGCACAGACAACTGAAGAGGAAGTTGTCTAATGGAGATGCGTTGAGTAAATGTATGTGGAAGACATTTACATGGCAGAAGCAATTAGACAAACGTAGGTCACTACAGTCCAGCTTACACTGTAGTCGCAAACGTAGATACGTAGCTGAAGAATGCTTAATGCCTCTACTAAGCAAGCTAACCACCTATGCTGGCTCTATAGTCCTTAAAGACTATAAAAAAAGGGGACTGATGTACATCGAGAATAGCCAGTCACCCTTTGTGTTCTTCGTAGACGGCCCTCTGTGTCCGGTAGTGCATATAAGCAACGGCACTTGCACTTGCCGTTTATTTAAAACATGTCGAATTCCATGTAAGCACATGGTTTTTACTCATCTACAAATGCCAGAATTCACAGGTATGTTATGTTCATCTTTGTATCATGAAGTAGTTGATTTAGTTTTGAAGCTGTGTTGCAGATGGACTTGGACAGCCTGTGGAGGTGTGGATGTAAATATACCAGCTATTTCGTCTCCAGATTATACTGAAACGAGCAGGTTGTATCGCATTCTACGCAGTAAAATCCACATACTCAGTACACTTTTCGGACAGACGACGGTGCAGGACATACTAAGGCAATTGATAGATCAAGTTGATGAATTAATACGCATGAGGCGTCTGCCTACAGATTCCGAACATAGTAAGTCCACTGGTTCTTTGGAAATCAAAATCTAAGTATTTATAAATGCATCTATTAAGCTAATACTCGTACTCTCTATTTCAGATACTCAATAAACACAAATCGCGTCATCTGCGTTGCCAGTTCTTGTTGATACCTAATTAAATAAAAGTCTTATGTTCACTAAATACAGAGTTTCTTGCTATGTTTGGTATAAGGGGTGAAAACATTGAATGGGCCTGTAGTTGTGTTTTGGCAGGTGCGTAACCTCACGTTACTAGTGACCCGTAAGTGTACCTAAGGTAGTGATTGCAAATCCGGCGGCATCCCAGTAAACAGCTATAGTTTAGACGCGTACCTGTCAACGTACTAGTGCAGCATATCATGGCGGCTGAAATAGGTTATAAGAAGGCCCTGAATTTGGGGTTTCCCACTGCTTGCTTATCATATGGTATTTGAATAAGAAACTTAGATTAGAGACAGGGACGGTTGGGATGTGTAACGCGTGTCCATCCATCAACTGCTGTGACTTAAATTTACTACACACCAACTAGGTGCTCAGAGGCTCGCGTTTCTTATAACGGTTAACTAGATAAAACGAAATAGCATCAGGTTTACAAATATATTCAGGAACTGTAATTAACAATGAAATATGAAACAAAGATTTATATCACGTTACCAACTACATTGTCGCGTTGGTAATGTTAATCTGCTGTATTTGTTGTTTCTTTTTTCAAACGAAAGGGTATAAGAAGTACCTCCAAAACACTGGAAGTGGATGTCCGGCATGCTTTTAGTAATCTGATGTTAGGTGGGTCTCCCATAAAGTTTCATAGGGCCATAGTTCTAAAGGTGAAACACTGTAACATCTGTGACGGCTCACTCCTGTTACATTCTAAATAAAAGATATTAGTGGATTTAGTGAAGAATGTTGAAAAGGTGAATAAACGCAGATGTTTCTAAGGAAAGAATTTATGCAGCTGTGACCTACCTCGACTTCATGAATATCGGCTCACGCCAGCTAATACAACTTGTGCAAAGCACAGCATTTATTATTTTGCTCTCATTTAAGTATTCTCATGCATCTGCGTCTGCTTTTACAGGAAGATATACGAGTTGATTTAGTGTCTGGTAAACTAAAAGTCCCAGTTGTCAAAAACACTTAACATTTGTCCACAGCCAGCAGCATTTAATTAAGACAACACTCCTCATTTAAGACTGTATACTCCTGTTTTGCAGGCAAATAAAAGCTCAGACACTTAGCTATCGTGCTATTGATGTTATTGCTGGGGAAATTGTTTCATGACAATGGTCTTGAAAAATGGACAGTGTTAGACGTGCTGTCTACAAATAAACACCAAACGTACTGAAAGCTATCTTATAATATATGACAGCAACTGTACCAAAGGCACTTTTTTCCTATTTTTAATCAGACTGGTTTCAATCACTATACTCATTAAAAACAGTTGTACTTACTAAACTGATCCGTTTCGTTACAGCCTTTAAGCACTACACTATAATTCTATAGACTAATCTAAATTATAAGGCAACCAAGAAATACTAAACTAGGCAAGTGTCATAATTATTGTTTCATTTGCACAGACATGATGCTAAACGAAGTAAAATGAACATAATCCAGCCGATAAAACCAAAACACAAGATATAGGCCAGTCCAACTTACCTAAGAGAAGACAAAGGAGATATATACTGCTTTAAAGCGACTGAGACTGAAGACAACAGTCAGTTGCAGTTTGGGAAGGACAGGAGGCTCGATAGCCTATGTTAGTCCTGGCAATGGTGGTCTCTCAGTTGATCCAACTTTCTTTTGAAAGAGTCGACGGATGGAGCCTCAACCACGTGCTGAGGTAGTGAATTCCACTCGTTGATGATTCGATGGGAAAGTCGATAGTCAGCTGACAAGTAATTTGTTCTCGGCTTGTGAACTTTTTTGGAGTGTCCTCGTAAATTCTCTGTTTTGGAAGACAAGAAAAATGAGGGCATGTTAGGTGCAAATTTATCACTAAGCAATTTGTAGACTGTAATCAAGTCGCCTCTAGTTCTGCGATATGACAACGGGAAAAGGTTCAGCTTGGCCAGTCGAGATTCATACGGAAGCTTCGCTATTCCGGGAACCAGTTTAGTCGCCGTTCTCTGAACCTTTTCCAGAAGCTCACTGTCTTTTTTAAAGCAGGGGCTAGCCGCTTGTATGCAGTACTCAAGTTTAGGACGAACGAACACTGTATACAAAGTCAAAAACGTCTTAGCGTCGACATGACTAAAAGCCCTACGTAGTGATCATAACGTTCTAAAACTTTTGGCGGCTATTGCACGGCAGTGTGCAGTAGTCTTTAAGTCTTGACTAACGATAACTCCTAAGTCATTATATGTCTGGACGACAGGTAGCTCAGTGTTATTCATCGTGTATGTATCTGTGCCTTGATGACCGATATGCATCACAACACACTTGTTCATAAAAACATAGTCTACAGCGCAACAAACATTTCTTCAGTAACATCATGCACTGACGGTCTATCGGGAAACAATCTACTATGTGAATAAACTAACTATAGTTAGTCATATATGACTTGAAAAATCCCTTTCAAATCTGTCCGCCGTTTCGTTTCAACGGCCTTGAACGCGCTGACTATGACTTGGGATATCATTCCAGCGTGCAAAGAACGTGCAGTGTAACGCAGTCAGACGTGACGAATAAAAATTAAAAACAGAGCAGAATTAACAACATAATCTAGTTATTTAATTAAAAATACATTATGAAATGACAAAATCTGTGGTTGCTTGAACGCACAGGTGACACTGGGCGATACATTAAGTTTACGTGATTGCGTTATGTATAAATTCACCCGTTTAAGAGGTCACAAAGTCCTGGAACCCTCTACTTTGATTACATTCATTAATACACTAGAACTATTTAGCACACAGTAAGTCCACTTTTTTCCCTCCAAACTGACACGCACCTGCCAGGCTAATACTCCTATTCCTTATTTCAGTTCATCAACAAAGACAAGGCATGCAATGTGCATCTCCTGTACATTACAATTTTACTGCATTTTTTACATTACATTCAGTAGATTCATGTTTACTTGTTATGAGGATGAAGACGGAGATTATGAACAGTTTAATAGAACTGTTGTCTTATATTCACTAAGAAGCTGAGTGAGAACGTAGATTGGTGTACTTCACAATATACAGTACCCTTGAGTCATTAGTATAGCATCATACCTGTATTGGAGATTTGCTCTAACATTATAGGAAATTAAGGCTAGCATCTGTGAGACCATACCCTTAGTCTCTGCAAAGATGGCATTTTTACCGAAAGGGATGTTTAGGAGACACAAGATGCATCACCACTCACCAACTAACGTGATAGACCATGATGGCTGGTATAAGTCGTGAGAAGGCTAGGAGTGCACTGATCTGTCTCGGTTGGCAATATGCACGGAGACCCGACTCCTTTACATACATCTGAGTAGAACGTGAACGGAAAGAAAAGCAAATATCCTTGCGCTACTTTTACGTGACAGTTGTGACATGTGAACTGAATGCCAAGAAGTTCATACTTTTCTAATTTCTTACGACGGTTAACCTGATAGATCGAAACAGGATCAGATATGCAAGTTTATTCGAGAACAGTTTCATCTATCAATGAATATCAAATAGCCATTTACATCGACATTCCACTTACAACCTTCACATTGATAATACAAAACTGTCATTAATATTCTGAAACTAAAGGATAAAACTAGTAGCGTATAAATTGTTGAGGTGATTGTGAAATTAAAGTAAGGGCTGTAAAATCCATTTTGGATGTTTTGCGTGTTTGTGAAAATCCCTCCATATTGATGTTGAGAACGGCGTTACCACACGTGATCTGGTGCGGATGCCTGACCGAGCGCCTTCAGCTAGATGAGTCAACTAAAACATATGGTCGGCATCCAATGTCGAAAACTTACAGGGCTACCTATTTTAGGGATTTATTTACCGCTACAGATCACTCCCCCCCTAGTGGGTTAGTGATGGCCCTAAGACGCGACCAGCCAGAAGTTTAAACCCATCGAGTTTGTCGTTGGTAAACACTCTTCTGATAGCTTGTTAGGATTAGCAGCGTTTGGTCGTCTTTCCTTACTATATGGGACGGAGGTACAACATAGTAAAAAAAGAAAATGTACAATGAATATTTCAGCTCCTCATAAACGTCATCGTTCTTTTTCAGTCGTCCTGGAAACGGAAAAAGAAACTGTAAGTGCATGTCGAAATACACTCGTATATGCGTAAAAACACAACGTCGGCGAAAAATAAGGAAAATAAACTCATGTACACGTAGTTTCGTTAAAAAAAGATTTATAATGTTTTTTTGTTTGTTTTTTTAAAATAAAAATATAAATATATGAGCAGATTAAAATTGTTTTTAAAAAAAATATTATATATCGTAAAAAGAAAGATCGAGAAAATATAAAATGTCGAGAAGTGCTTTACGTGCAATAGTCGTTTAAATGTTCTGGTAATCTAACTCTTCTTCCAGAACGCGTCGTTTTAAGTTTATTTTCAGATACATTCGGAGTAACATAGCGTGTGTTGGTTGTCGATTGAGGAATTATGAGTGGAGTCACGTCGTTCGATTGTATCGAAGGAAAATCGACGTAGATAGGATTTCCTTCTAAATACGCTACTTTGAAGCAATCCATGCTGATGCTATCGTTGGTTCCGTTCTTATCGACTACATAGTACTTAGGTTCACGTTGAAGAACTTCGAAAGGTCCTTCGTATGCTGATTCGAAAGGCTGTCGATGTGAGTCTCGACGAACGAAAACGTGTGTACTATATCGTAAGTCAGGTTGAACGAAAACTTCAGTTGATTGCGGTCAAGTGGAAACAGGTTTAACTGAACGCATTGCGTTTGTAAACCTGTTCGTGTAGGAGGTTAGACCCATGTTCATTGAAGAGGATGAAGAATCCACGAATTCCCCTGGAAGTCGAAGTGTTGTTCCACAAACGGGTTGAGCCGCAGTGTATCCCATGTCAGCTGTCACTGCATTGCGAATACCTAGTATGACGAGTGGAAGAGCGTCGGTCCACTGTGAAACGTTTGCAGCTGATAGTGAAGTTTTTAGTTGTCGGTGAAAGCGTTCTACTAACCCGTTTGCGTGTGGGTGGTAGGCAGTCGTTCAGAAGCGAGTGATTTTTAAACATGTGGTCAGACGACGGAAAAGTTCAGATTCAGACTGACGTCTGCGGTCTGTAGTGATGGTTGAAGG